CGGGCAAGACATGGGTGTGGCTTCAGCTGGAGCACCTTGGCCTTTAAACCTGGAAGAATCTGTTTCTAGTGCCCTCTTGGGGCCATTTCTGAGAACTGCAGTGGAAGCAGCTAAATATTATAGTGATCCTGCTGGTCTGTATGCGGAGACACCCTTTTCTTTACTTCTGGCTTAAGAAGACCAGTCTATCTTTCCTGAATGAAACCTGGCTTTAAGATTGTCAAGAGCGTACGTAGCAGTCACAGGGCCCGAGCTATGGCCAGGATACTAAATTCTCCCAGGAAACAAGCTCTTGATGGGTAAGATTCAGCAACTAGCTCAGTCCATGTTTTAGCCAATATCCAGATAAAATCAGTTTTACAGTGAAAATAATTCTGGTGTTTGCCCTTAAGAAGAACTCAGCGTCCCTTTTCTCCCGGCCAGCTAGGCCCTCGCCCACCATCCAGCACGTGCTGCCTCCTCCAGGCCGCGGCTCCTGTGCCTCTAACCCGCCGTGACTGCTGGCAAGTCTGGGTGCCCGTCTGTGTCTAGGTGTATAGTGTCCAGGAGTTTCTCCTGCCATAGGCTCACGGCCCACATTAATGTGAACACAGATGGTCACACCCAACAAGGTCACTTCTAGGAATACATCTTCCTGAGAGGCACACTAGTGTGAAATTCTAGTTGAATGCAGGCTCTCATATAGTGTTTTTAATAGCAAAATAATATAGGCAATCTTATGACTGCCTCCCAACAAGAGAATCCTATATAATGGAAGTGTAGTATGCAAATTGTCTCCTGACTGGCTGGGGGAAGGGAGGGAGGCTCCTGCCAGCAGCTGGCAGCCGCTAGGGACCATAGCAGTACACGAATGTCATGCACTGGGTCTCTAGTAGAAAATAAATTATGGTACAATACAATAAATACCTGGCAGCCAAAAAAGAAAATGATGTGGAAAACCTCCAGGATATATTATTATGTAAAGAAAGTGCAGCCTTCGCTGGTTTGTTCAGTGGATAGAGCATCAGCCTGCAAGTCCCAGGTTCGATTCCAGTCAAGGGCATGTACTTCAGTTGCAGGTTCTTCCTGGCCAGGCCCTGGTCTGGCTCCTGTAGGAAGTAACTAATCGATGTGTTTCTCTGACATCAATATTTCTCTGTCTTTCCCTCTCCCTTCCACTGTCTCTAAAAACCAATGGAAAAACATCCTATAGTGAGGATTTTATTTAAAAGTGCACATAGCATACTAACATAGACGTGTGGGTGTGTGTGATGTGCAATTGAATATTCCTGTTAGAGTACATAAGCAACCAATAGTAGTGGAGCCTTAGAGGAGGGGAACGGAGTGGCTTTGGGTAGGAGTGGAGGGAGGCTTTGAAACTTTAATTTCGCACCTATTTATTCTCAGTGTGTTTATTTTCCAGACATACATAAGGAAAAGAATGGTCCCTGCCACGTGGACCAACTGGGAGCTGGAAGGGCAGCGTCCTCATCCACCAGGAGCAGAAGGTGTAGGTCGGTTAGCAAATGTCATGCATTTCTCTGTATCTGTTTCTTTTGTTATTCCAGGCTTTCAGTCGAGTGCATTGATAACCTCAGTGTTTGAGTTAAAATTTTCAAAGCATTTCCTTTGCTTTTATATGTAAAAAGTTAGAACGTGACCCAGAGCGGGAGCTGTAGACTTTCTTGAGATTTTAGAACTTGTTTCCCACCCAGCTGTGCTGAATCGGACCAGGGCCGTTGGCTTTGACAGGACACAGAGCTGTGCTCTACACCCACCTGCCTGCTGGGTGCCGGTCTTCTCCGGGTGGATCCTGTCCAGTTCCTCCTACAAAAGGCCCAGGGAGGCTCTCCTGGTGCCACAGCAGTCCCCGAAGGCCATGTGCCAGCTTTTTATTATCTAGTCAAATCCAGGACTTCTCTGAGCTGCTTTCATGTCTTTGGAGAGGGAAAGATGGGACTCCTCCGTGTTTTTTAGAGTCAATGGGTAGCCCATCTTTAGATATGAGAGGGCCAGGGCATTTTACTTGAGGTAAGCAAAACTGAAGCTTATCTTTTGAGATATTATGTCCTTTTATAGCTAACTGGTGCAATAAGTATGTTGCATCTTCTTAGGAGTCTAATATGTCCTAGAGCATAAAAATAAAGCATCTACACGCCTGAAATATGTATAATTTTATTAACAAGTGTCACCCCAATAAACTGAATAAAAAGAAAAAAAATAAAGCATCTACACATTGGATTAGAGCAGAATAGCTGAAAAATTCAACACCATTCAAATCCATTTTTAGTATCTAAAACAATAGATGGGACTGTCTGTATATCCCTGGGGCATTACTGCCCAAGTAAACTTGTAATCCTTCCAAGTAAAAGCAAAGAGCTTTCTCTCTCTCTCTCTCTCTCTCTCTCTCTCTCTCTCTCTCTCTCTCTCTGAAATGTGCAAAAGGCACTACATAAATCTATCACTGAAAAATACTGACAGTTCACAGGCACGGCTAATAACTGGTTCTGTGGATTTGGAACCTCAGGAAGTTTGGGAATAACTATCTTATTTATAGCTCTGAGATCCTGTACATCATTGTGTTGTAGGCAGCTATAAGCAGCACCAGGAGCTAGACTAGTGGAGTCAGATTGGACCTGGGTTCAGCAGCCTCAGGACTTAAGTTCTGGCTAGGAAAGAATTCAGAGGCAAGACTCAAACTATAAGAGAAGATGTATATATATAAAAAGCTAGAGACCATAATGCTGTCACAACCTTAATGACCTAACGACCAGTCACTATGACACCCACTGCAGCCAGCAAACCTGCCTGATTGGCAAACTTGCCTGATTCGGGCTGGATCACCCCCAACAACTTGATCAGGGTGGGTCAGCTGGCCAACCACCTTGGCTGGTAGAAATTTGGGGTCCAGGGACCTTGGAGTTGCTTGGTCTCAGTCTCGGGCAGCTACACGGTCAAATCTCTCCTTTGGTGGAAGTGGACCTGGGATCAGGGCACTGGAGCTGGGGATGGGGTGGAGAGGCTCTCCTGGTGGCCACAGCGGTCCCCGAAGGCCATGTGCAGCATGTGAGCATCTGGCCCCGGTCAGACAGCGGCAGGAATAGGGGCCATGGGGTACAGGGGGCAGCAGCACACAGGAGCCAGGACGTGCAAGGCCCAACCTGAGCTTTTACCAGCAGGTGAGCCATGATGTGCAGCCAGGAGGGCAAGGCCGCAAGCAAGACAGAGCCCCGAGCGGCATGGGCAGAGCGGGAGCGGAAACCCTGGCGGGGTGGGCGGGGCTGCAACCCTGCACCTTTTTGGCCTTGGAATTCAGAGGTCAGCCCCCTTCAGGAGAGAGGACGTGGCGGAAAGTGGCAAGGCCACGGGAGGGATGGGAAAGTGGCCATCTTCGGGAAACACGGCTGCCACGGCCTTCAGTAACTGTGAACAGATCATCTTTGGTCTCGGTCCACAGAAGAGGAAACTGAGACAAAAGGGAGCCTTCCATAACACCTCGCCCTTCTCAGCCCTGACCCGTGCAGCTTTGTTTTCAGTGAAAGTACAGGATCCAAGATGATTTTAGATCTTTGCTCTGTTGGGCAGGAGAGAAGTTAGCCCAGGGAATCGGTGCCTGGGAAATCACTGGAAAGCTGGAGTGGGTATTAGGCTGGACCCCCAGGAAAGACTGCCTGCCCAGAGGGAGGAGCTGTCTCCTGAGCCACAACTGAACTCCGGTCCCCGCCGCCCTGGCCTTCCCGGAAACGGGGCATGAGCGTGGGAGTGAGCTTACACGGGGCCTCCTGCCACAAGCCTCACGGGGCTGCGGAGGCGGGAACCAGCGGTGGGACCGGCTCTGAGGGAGGCTGCGGGGACCGGAGGGTGGAGTGTCCCTCTGGGCCCGGGGCCATGTCCCCACACACACTGACCTGCATCGGCCCTGCACGGACTGGATGGAGGAGCTGGGGCCGAGCGTGGGCCCCAGCACCAGTCTCAGGCTTTCCTGTGTGCCCAGCCCGGGCTCAGACCCCCCACCGCTCACCCGAGAGCCACAAATCAACCTCCTGTTCCCTCACCTGACCCGGAACCCCGGCCCCCGACCCCGAGTCCTCACGTCTATTAAATCACACCACTCAGGGCGGCACCTAGTAAACTTCTTTCTAATCCTCACCTGAGTTTATTTTTCCATTGATCTTTAGAGAGTGGAGGGCGGAGAGAGAAAAACATCATTGTGGTGCCTTCCGCCCGCCCTCCAAACCTGCAACCGAGGGATGTGCCCTGGACCAGAAATCGCACCAAAAACCCTCCGGTCCCTGGACAACACTGACACTGAGCACGGCCAGGGCCCTAGCAGGCTTCTCGGCACACAGCTGGCTCTGCAGGCCCCTCTTCCCTCGCTGGCCCTGGTTCCCGCTCTGCATGCCGTCCAGCTCCGGCAGGGCCGTCAGAGGCGGGGCCAGAGGGGAGGGAGGAGCCGCCCAGTGGACTCACAGGGCTGGTGGCGCCAGGAACCGGCCTCTGCCAGCACCCGCCCAGGCGGGAGCACAGGTACCACAGGTACCGGTGAGACGCACAGACAGGAATGGAGAGAACACGCACTTCCCGAGCTTCTGCCGGGCAGTCATTGTTTTGAACACTAAGGTTTATTGTCAAACAGCACACAGACGCCTGCGGGCAGGGCCAGGCCAGACAGCGGTCTGGTCCCAAGGTGTCTAGGGGACTGGACCCCACGCCCAGCAGCGGCAGGAAAGGAGGACCCTGGCCGGGCAGCTCAGCCAAAGCTTCAGGCAAGCGCGGCGGCTCCGCGGCCAGCCCACCGGGCCGACGGCGGCTGCGGACCCCGGAGGGCGCTGGCGGTGGCGGCAGCCAGGGACTCAACTAGGGGACAGCAACATCGGGGCTGGCGACGCCCGCTGCCGGACCGGCTCTTCGGGAAGCCCCCTCGGCTCAGGTCTCTCCTCGATTCCCTTTGCTCTCCAAAAAGTTCAAAAACAAAAACAAAGAACACACACACTTTGGGAGAAGGTGCCCTCGCCCGCGCCTCACTGCACCCGCTCCGTGAAGTTCTCGGGGAAGACGCCCTGGCACTTGTCCAGCTCCTTGTGCTGGTTCCAGTCGCTCTCCTTCACGCCCATGAGCCAGCCTTCATCCTGGGGGCAGAGCACAGGCTGAGCGGGCGCCAAGGAGGGTGCTGGACCCCGCAGGGTGTGTGGCCGGGATCTGCTGGGAAGCTGTCAGCCCCTGAAAGGACGCCTCCTCCAGGCAGCCTTCCCGCGAACCTCCCCAGACCCAAGCCCAGCTGCCAGGACCGTCCGCCCTTCAGCAGGCGGGTTAACTCCGTCACCTGGCGAGACCTCGGCACCCAGACCCTGGAAGTCGGCCTGACCGCGGCCCTGCTCTGGGCGTGTCTGACAGCCCTCAGTCCCAGTTCACAGGAGCTCCCCACCGTTCACAGGCACCTGCCACGGACATGGCCTCCCTCCGACCTCCCGATCAGCCCAGGACAACAGGCTGGGCTGGCCCAGGCACAGCTTCCAGAGGAACCCGAGGCATCCCCCAGCCTCTGCCCTGGTCCCGGCCCTCCCCGGTCCTGACGCCTACCGGGCCCAGACCCTGCCCCAAGCCTGCGGCTGAGCTACGCCTGGTGCCACCTGCATCCTCGTCGCTTCCCTCTGTCCTCTGTCCTACCTGAGCCACTCCTGCTGGCCCAGATGGCCAGGCAGGGGCAGAGCCAGGATTCTGCTTCTGAAACCCGCTCCGCCAGGGCTGAGACCGAGGTTCAGGAGGAGCTGCTGACCGGCACCAGCCGGGAAACCCTCGTTACCCAGCCTGTGGCTGCAGTGCCCGGTGCCCTGAGCCGCCCAGGACCCCCTCCTTCCAAACCAGCCTCCTCCCACCCTCAGCCCTGTTAATCAAACCCCACAGAGTCCAACCAGGACCCCTGGGCACCGCAGATGTCACCTGGATATCAAGGGGCACCCCAACCCCCTGCCAACACCCCGACACCACGCAAAGGGCCACTTGACACCCACAGTGAGTCCTGCTGCAGCCACAGCCAGTGCAGAGACAGTGCCGCCGAGCTTGCCCCCACGGAGCTCCCCCCAGCCCCCCGCCCCGCCCAGGCAGATAAGGAGAAGCCAGGAGGGTTCACGGAAGGACGCCCCGGCAGAGGGGGGGCGCACAGGGAAGTATGGAGAAGGAAGCCTACAGAGCTGAGGCGCACAAGGAAGAGCGGGGAGAGAGGAGAGGCACTGGGGGACAGACAGACGGAGGGAGGGAAGGTCGGAGGGAGGGAGGGAGGGAAGGAGGGAGGGAGGGAGGGAGGGAAGGAGGGACGGAGGGACAGAAGGAGGGACGGAGGGAGGGAGGGATGGAGGGAGGGAGGGAGGGAAGGTCGGAGGGAGGGAGGGAGGGAGGGAGGAAGGGACGGAGGGAGGGAGGGAGGGAGGGAGGGATGGATGGCGGGAGGGAGGGAGGAAGGGAGGGAGGGAAGGTCGGAGGGAGGGAGGGATGGAGGGATGGAGGGAGGGAGGGAGGGAGGGATGGAGGGAGGGAGGGACGGACGGAGGGAGGGATGGAGGGATGGAGGGAGGGATGGACGGAGGAACGGACGGAGGACAGAAGGAGGGACGGAAGGAGGGAGCGGGCGGAAGGGGCGTGAGGAGGAAGGTGCGGGGCCCACCTGCTCCTCGGGGTTCTGGAAGGGGATCACCAGCACCACGTCCCCCGCCTTGAGCTGCAGCTCGTCCGTGTCGGTGGCCGCGTAGTCATGCTGGGCCTGCACCTGCGGGGGTGTGGGAAGCTGCCACCCTCCTCAGAGGCCTGGCCCCGCTCGCCAGCTGGGTGGCAGGCGCGGGGGGGGGCGCTTCGGGCACTGCATGGTCTGCCTCCCCGCCTGGGCTGGCCGCCCACCCCGGGCGCCTGGGCAGGGGCCGGCCGGCTTACCTTGAACATGAACCCCGGGGGCAGGTCCACGCGCGCACCCCCGCCGCTGCCCTCCACCGCCCCGTTCACCGCGGAGAAGGTCTCCACCACCACGGCCGGCAGCGAGTTCTGGGAGGGAGCACGCCGTGAGCGGGGGGGGGGGGGGGGGGGGGCGCGGGAGGGGTGTGGGGAGGGGGGCGGGAGGGGGTGGCAAGGGGTGCTGGCTGGCACCAGCCCAGCCTGCCTCCAGCTTCCCGGCGGGAACTGCAGCACACAGAGCTGGGGCACAGACAGGCGAGCAGCAGACAGACAGACAGACAGCGGGAGGAGAGGCAGGGCAGGGCCAGCCCTGGGTCTCACCGAGGCTGCTTCCCCGGCTGCTGTGTCCCCGGGCTCCTGGGTGCCTCCTGCCACCTCCGAGGCCTCTGCCGGCTGCAACATAAACGCGGCCGGTCAGACGGGGCCACCGCGGACAGGCAGGGCCACGGCAGCGGCGCAAGGCGCCCAGAGTCGGCCAGTGTCTGACCGGCTGTCTGACCGGCCAGGAGCCCTGGAGCAGAGCGAGGTCCTGGGCTTGGGAGCAGCCGGCCCGACATCGCCCACAGGCCCGCCCCGAGGCCCAAGCCGAGGCTTCCGGCCCGGCCTGGCCACCGGCCCTCGGGCTGCTCCGGGGAGAGGGCGAGCGCAGGCTGGGCACCGGGAGGGGGGATGGGGCCTGGGCAGGTCGGGTGCCAGCCCCCCTCGGCCACTGCCAGCCCTGGGAGCGATCCGCCCCCTCGCTCTTCGGAGGGAGATGGCACTGCAGGGGGCAGGAAGGCGGCTCTGACAGCTCTCACCTCACCCCAGGCGCTCCGCATGCCCCTCCCTCTGGGGAGGGTGCGCTGAGCCAGCCTCCCGAACACGGGGACTCGCCCGTCCCAGGCAGGGGCTCCTGGCCCTGCGTCGCCCTCTGGCTCACGCAGCGTGTCCATCCTGAGCTCCCTCCTCTAGGCTCCTCCTCCGAGCCGCACCCCAGTTCTGGGGGCAGACGGGCTGGCAGACGGCACTTACTTGGGCCCCTGGCTCGGCCGCCTGGCCGGGCCAGGCCACGGCAAAGGTGCCCTCGGCAGCGCCGGGCTCGCTGGAAGGTAAGCTGCCGTCTGGACCCTCTGTGGGCTGGGGGCGGGCACCACGGAGAATGGGGGGAGGGCGGTGGGCAGGGAGGGCGGGCAGTGGGCGGGCACGAGACAGAGACAGGCATGAGGGGCAGCGCTGGCCAGAGCCCGGACAGATGCCAACCCTGTGGGGCACCTGCCTCCATGTCCCGGGTCCCCCTGAAACTGCCGGTCAGAATGGCCTGCCCGCTCCCCCAGGCCCTCCAGTCAGCCCTTCCACGGGCTGTCCCAGCCGCGCAGCCTGGCCGAGGCGCGTCGCCAGCCCTTCCCACAGGCCAGTCCCTGCCTCGGAGCCCGTGCAGAGTAGCCAGCTCATGGTGCATGAGCGCAGCAACCTCCGTTCCCCCCCACCCTGTCCCCTGTGGCCCCGATGTGGCCCCCTGTGGCCTCTGGGGACAAAGACTGTCAAAGGCAGACCCCGCCCCAGGCCTCCGGCGGGAGTCAGCCAGCTGGCCGGGTGGAGGCTGCGCAGGCCCTGGCGCCGGGCCATCCAGGAGGACCCTTCCCAAGTGAAACCAGGGCCCTTCCCCATGGGGCCGGCGGGCAGGGCCCTTCCCCATGGGGCTGGCGGCAGCCACGGCCGCGCACAGGAGCGGCTGTGCTCGCGGAGGGCGGACCACGCGGAGCAGCAGGCTTACCTCCCAGAGGTCCCAGGGGATGGGCTGAGGCAGCAGGGGGAGAAGCACAGAGTTAGCACAGGAGTTAGGGGGCAGCAAGCAGCCAGTGACCCGCCCCACCCCACCCAGGGCCCTCGAGCCAGCAGGCACAGGTCAGCCTGAGCCGGGCTGGGTCCCCGAAGGCCGAGTCCCGGCGGACAGCGCTCAGGACACCGCCACCCAGGCCGGGAGCACCGCGGGCGCTGGAGAAGCTGTCCACTGCCAGGTGAGGCCACGGCCCTCCCGGGGCCGCCCGCCCTGCCCCCTCCGTCCCCGCGCTGGACTGGCAGAGGGGGCGAGGCCCCGGCGGAGGGGCGTGGGAGGGGGCGGGGCAGACAGGAGCCCAGGGCCCAGCGGCCCGGAAGCCGGCGGGCACCGGTGGTGGCAGATCGGACCAACCTGACCGGAGGGCGTGGGCGCCTTCACGGGGCTCGCCACGGGCGGCAGGGGGTCAAAGTCCAGGTCCAGCAGGCTGGCCTGCTCCGAGAGCGGCCCCGGGGCCTCGAACTGGGCGGGGCGGCGGCCGAGGCAGAGGAGGAAGCGGTTAGTGACGGACACACACACAGCACAGACAGGCGGCGAGGCCCGCAGGGCACACGGGCGCCCGCCCAGACGGCCCTCAGGGGGCAGCACGTCCTCGCCGGACACCCTGGCGCACACCCCCACCTCAGGCCGGCCCCCACCCGCCAGCCACTCACTGCGGGGCTCTGCCTCTCACTCCTGCACCACCAGCTGCCGGGACCTCCCTCCTCGCGCCCGGGATCTCCCCGCCCCCGGGACCTCCCCGCGCCCCGTGGACCTCCCCCCCCCCCACCTCCCCGCATCCGGGACCTCACCGCCCCCGTGGAGCTCCCCCTCCCCCCCCACCTCCCCGCCCCCATGGACCTCCCCGCCCCCATGGACCTCCCCGCCCCCGTGGAGCTCCCCACGCCCCCGGTATCTCCCCGCCCCCGGGACCTCCCTGCGCCCGGGACCTCCCCGCGCCCCGTGGACCTCCCCCTCCCCCCCCACCTCCCCGCCCCCGGGACCTCCCCCTCCCCCCCCACCTCCCCGCGCCCCGTGGAGCTCCCCCTCCCCCCCCACCTCCCCGCCTCCGGGACCTCCCCGGCCCCGTGGAGCTCCCCCTCCCCCCCACCTCCCCGCCCCCATGGACCTCCCCGCCCCCGTGGAGCTCCCCACGCCCCCGGTATCTCCCCGCCCCCGGGACCTCCCTGCGCCCGGGACCTCCCCGCGCCCCGGACCTCCCCCTGCCCCCGGGACCTCACCACACACCCAGGAAGCCCGGGCATGCGGGCGGCTGTCTCCCTCACAGCCTGGACAGATGTCCCCTGTGTGACACCCACTGGCCAGCTCCCGGGGGTGAGGACAGGGCCAAGCCAGACACACTGCCGCGGGGCCCGACCGTGGCACCCCAGCCACCCCGAGATCACCATGAGGGCCCGGTCAGCTCAGCTATGGGCATGCGAAGGCACACGTGGCCCCGCGTGCTGGAGGCCCAGCCCACTGTGAGGGGCCTCACAGGCCCAGAGCCCCTGCAGGAGACGGCCCCCAGCACCGAGCCCGGGGGGCATGCCGCCCCCATCCCTGTGAGGTCTCCCCCGGCCTCACCCTCTGGGGGCCCAGCCAGCTCTGCCTCTCCTGGTGGGCACGGGCTCTGAGGGGAGCGCCCTCCAGCCCTGTCCTCGGGTCCTCCGAGGGCTCCCCGAGAAGCTGCTCACCGAGGTGTGGCCTCAGGAGAGCCCTGCAGGCCTGGAGCACCGGGCGCGCTGCCCACGGCTCAGGGGACAAGGCGGTCTGGCTGAAGGCAGGCCCGCCGCTCCCCTGGCACGGACACCCTCAGAGGGCGCTGGGAACTGACCAGGTCACTATGGAGGTGGGGGCACTGCCCAGCCAGGTCCCAGTGCTGGGCACGGGCAGAAGCACACGCCAGCAGCATGTGGCCCAGCAGCCTGCACTGGCACCCCCACCTCCACAGACGGGCCGCCTGTCCGGGCCCAGGCCTGGCACGGCCCTGTGCCCACGCAGCACCACACTGCACGTCCCTACTTCTGACCGAGTCCTCCCTGGGGCTGGCCGAGGGCCAACCCGCAGAGCACGGTCCTCAGCTCCACCCCCTCCCCCGTGCTCACACCGCCCTGCCCAGCGCCCGGCCTGGTCCTCAGCTCCACCCCCTCCCCTGTGCTCACACCGCCCTGCCCAGCGCCCGGCCTGGTCCTCAGCTCCACCCCCTCCCCCGTGCTCACACCGCCTGCCCAGCTCCCAGCCGCTGAGAGGCTGCTACGGAGTCCGAGCGAGTGCCCCAAGCAGGGCCACCACAGCAGCACCCAACCCGGGCCCCCACAGCCTGGGACCGGAAGCCACGCAGAAGCAGGTTTGCGTGGCCAGGGCCTGGCTGGGAGGCGCAGGACCCCGGCCCGGAGCAGGTGGCTCCCTGGCCGCACTGCGTGTGGTGCAGGTCGCTCCGGAGCGACCCTCCGCTCGGCCTCCTGCTGACCTGCCGGGCCACCACAGCCTCAGGCTGTCTCTGCCCCAGGAAGGACCCCGCCCCGCTAGCAAGGCCTCCCTCCCACCCTTTCAGCCCATGCCCAGGAGGCGCCGCTGAGATGATCGCCCGCTGGGGCTGGGGCCACCTGCTCAGGTGCCTGAGGCGGCCGCGGGCACGCTCAGATGGAGGAGGGATGACGGAGGACGATGGAAGCGGTGAATGAGGGAGGGAGGGAGGGAGGGAGGCGCAGGCATGTCTCGGCCAAAGCCCGGCTCTCCGGGCCAAGGCACCGGTGGGATGGAGGGAGGCCATGCACGCCCCGGAGAGCAGGACGGGAGCTGGGCCGCGGCCGGCGCAGCTGACCTGGGAGGGGGTGGTCACGCTGATCTCGGGGATAAAGGTGTCACCAAACAGGCTGAGGATCTGCTCCTGCTTGACCTCCTTGGACGGGGTGAGTTTGGGAGGCGGAGGGACGGGCGGGCCTTTCCGGAGCTGATCCACCGGGCGAGGGGCCGCGCAGGGAGCACGGGGTGGGGAGACAGACAGACAAGGCCAAGGTTAGTCACACGGCCACGGCCCACCCAGGCAGCGGGGTGGATGAAGCAAGGAGTCACTGCTCCCCGAGACCGGCCCCCGCCCCTCCAGGGTGGAGGTCCAGCGCTGCGCAGAGCACGAGAAAGGGGCGGGGAGAGGAAGGGGAAGGAGGGGAGAGCAGAGAGGCCGGGAAGCAGCCGCCCTGCCTGCTCCGCTGAGCTCACGCAGCCCGGCCTCCAGCCACTGGGGCCTGCGCAGGGCCGGGGAGGCCGCAGAGGCGGTCAGCCCTGCCCCGACGGCCCCGAGCGCCCGCCGCCCGCAGCACTCATCAGGGGCTGCCAGTCTGCCTCCCGGCGACCGCCGGCTTCGATGCCAGTGCCGCTCAAGGGGGCTCTCGGCTCAGCTGCCATCTGTGTCCTCCTCACGGCCGGTGGGTGAGGCACAGCCCAGCAGAGCCGCGGCCAGGAGTGGAGGGCCGGCAGCCCAGGAGACACCGCTCCAACGCCCTTCGGGAAGCCCGGAGGGCGGGGCCGGGCAGGGGCAGGTTTCTCCACAGGGGCCCTGTCACCGTCCCATGCGGGAGAGGGGCCAGGGCAGCGCGGCAGCTGCCCCCGAGGACCTGGTGCTCAGCTGAGGGCCTGAGCCTGTCCTACGTGGAGGGAAGACGGAGGACGTAAAGCCACTGGGCACAGTGAGGAGGAAAGAAACAGGACAGGCGCCCTGCATTGAGGTAGCTGGGCCAGCAGGGCTCAGGGAGAGCCATGCCGGCTCAGCCGCTCTGGCTCCAGACGGCCCAGGCCCGGGCGGGAAGCAGAAGGGGAAGAGGGGCCACAGCGCCTGGGGGGGCAGGCAGGAGGGGGACAGCCGCCGGGACCGCCTACCTGAGACGGGGACTTGGGCAGGGCAGCCCCGGGGGCGGCCGCCCCAGCCGGCTCGGGCTCGTGGTTGACTCTGACCTCGGGGGTGGCCGCGGGGGAGCCATCGGGCGGCGGCGAGGGGCTCTTGTTCTCTTTCGCAGGCGCGCTGTCACTGCGGAGGGAGACAGGGTGTCCGGTGGAGGGGGTCCTAGCGCCAAAGAACGTGTGCAGATCTGCAGGTGTGTGTGAAGGTGTGCACGTCGGATGCCCTGGGGTCCAGGTGCACGAGAACACGTGTGTGTGTGTGTGTGTGCGTGTGTGTGTGTGTGTGTGAGAGAGAGAGAGAGAGAGAGAGAGAGAGAGAGAGCATGTAGAGCAGTGTGCAGGAGGGTGTGCACGTCGGATGCCCTGGGGTCCAGGTGCACGAGAACACGTGTGTGTGTGTGTGTGCGTGTGTGTGTGTGTGTGTGTGTGAGAGAGAGAGAGAGAGAGAGAGAGAGAGAGAGAGAGAATGTAGAGCAGTGTGCAGGAGGAGTGTTCATGTGAGGATGCCCAGGGTCCATGTGCATGAGAACACGTGTGTGTGTGTGTGTGTGTGTGTGTGTGTGCGCGTGTGTGTGTGTGTGTGTGTGAGAGAGAGAGCGCGCATGTGGAGCAGTGTGTGAACCGAGTGTGAGGAGCGTCCCCGTGGCTCACTGGAACGTGATGTGCCACGGTGAGCTGCGGGTGCCTGGGCCTGGAAGCAGCACCTGGGCAGCTCTGGGCGGGGCCTGTGGTCCCCAGGGGTCGGGGCGGCCCGGTGGCCTCACGGGCCCGAGCTCGCAGAGAGGAAGCCAAGCAGCCTAGAGGCAGAGTGAGTCCCCCCAGCCGCACGTCAGCCCTGCTGCCTCCTCCCGCCGCCCCACTCACACTCACACCGCTGCCGGGCCCCGCCCATGCCTCACATCGCTGTCCCCGAACCCTGGCTCCCAGGGACCTTCCGGGAAGGCCTGGGAGACCCCGGAGGCCACGGCAGAGGGAGAGCAGAGGGTGCCCACAGCCCAGGGCGGGCTGGGGTGAGTTTCATGAGCACCTGTTCCGCACGAGAAACAGGAGCTGTGTGCACAGGCCTCCTGTGTGCGTGGGTGCAGAGTGCCCGGAGCAGACCTGTGTGTGCTCAGACACGCCAACACGGCTGGCCGCCACTAGCCACCAGCCCGGTGGCTGTGCATATTCCATTGAAGTGGAGTCAATTAAGAATCCAGCTCCTTGCCCTGACCGGTGTGGCTCAGTGGACAAAGCCTCGGCCTGCGGACTGAAGGGTCCCAGGTTCAATTCCGGTCAAGGGCATGTACCTTGGTTGCGGGCACATCCCCAATAGGAGGTGTGCAGGAGGCAACTGATGGATGTTTCTCTCTCATTGATGTTTCTAACTCTCTATCCCTCTCCTTTCCTCTCTGTAAAAAATCAAAAGGACTCCAGCTCCTCAGGCACACTGGCCGGACCCAGATGCAGCCACATGCGGTGCGTGGCTGCCTGGGCAGGGGCCCCAGAAGGCAGTCCCGTGAGAGTGGGTGAGTGTCCTGGGAGGCGTGTGCTCCCTGAGGATCAGGTGTGCGGACAGAGGCGGGCACACGCGCTCGGCGCTGCCCTGCCCTCCGGCCCCTCCGCGCTGGCACCGTTAACCCCCGGCAGCACACACGGGGCAGTTAGGGGTTAGTGGCCCGGAGCAGGCGGGCGGCATGCACGGGCGCAGCCGGCAGCCTGCCCCACAGCACGCGGCGGTACCTGGGCTTCTTCCTGCGCAGCCGCGAGAACAGTTTAGCTTTCTTTCTGTGGACGGGCGGACGGAGCCGTCACCCAGGGAAGCGGGCTGTGGCTGGCCGTCCTCGCTCCTCAGACCATAACAGGGCCGGGCGGAAAGCCACCCCCAACACCCAGGGCCGGGCGAGGTCAGCCCGGGCCCGACGTGCTGACAAACGGCGGAGCCGGGGCTCAGGGCGCCGGCGGGCAGCCACGGGCTCGGGCGTGTCCGGAAGGGGTGGCCGCGGCCAGTGGGCCCCGGGCCGGTGAGCAGGCCGCTGTGGGCACCAGCCCTCCTTCCCCCGGTGGCCAGGATGGCGACCAGGACAGCCATTGCCCGCCCCGCAGCAGGGAGGCGCTGGGCGTCCCCCTTGCCTTCACCCACCGCCACCCCCAGCGCTGCTCAGCCAGGGCACGTTGGTGTTGTCAGAGGAGAGGGGCAGCAACGTGATGAACGCTCCTTGGTCCCGGGTAACCCAGCCACCAGAGGCAGTCGGTCCCCTCCCGCAGGGGGAAAGCGAGGCTCCGTGTGGCTCCCACACTGAGGTGACCAGCAGGAACTCGCAGGCGCACTGCACGCTGCTTCCCGCCCCTCCCCTCAGGAAGCGGTCTCCTCGGACAGGGCTGCCCTGGCTCTGGCTGGGGTGTGCAATGCCAGCCCGAACTCGGGCTCCCGGGGAGGGGCAGGGAGGGCGCCACCGGCCCTAAGAGGACTGCTCACTTCCCGAACCCCACACCCTCCGCCTCCCCGCAGGGGAGGGCTCAGGTGGGTGCAGACTGCCTGCGAGGGCTCCTCCCACAGGAGGCTCGGGATGGCAGCCCTCACCGCTGCTGAGCACAGGCAGGCCACGCGGGAAGGCCAAGTCCGGTGACCACGGAAGCAGCCCCGCCCAGCCTCGCCGGTTCCGAGCGGCCGCGGCCACGCCCGCCCCAGCACCGAGCACGCGCCGCACGCACCTGGGCTGGGCCTTGACCGTGAAGGTGTTGCTCCCGTGCTGCTTCTCCAGGCCGACCAGCGCGTCGTTGAGGCTCTGGTTGAGCTGCGGAGAGGGCACCGGGCAGGGGCTCTGAGCCACCACAGCCTCTCCCCACGCCCCTGGCTCCCCCGCAGCCCCCGCACGCCCTGCCCGAAAGCAGCGCTGCCCGCCAGCGGGAGCTGCGAGCCCACCCCCACAGGAAGCCAGGGGGAGCGGAGGGAGTGGGCCCACAGCCACCCGTCCCACAGACCCTCTTTCCTTGCTTTCCCACAACGCCCACGGAGCCGGCTGTGGGAACGGTTAGCCGCCTTCAAACCGCCTGTGGCTCTGAGCTGCTAGGCCACCTGCCGAGATGCTCCCGCCGCTGCCCCAGCCGGGAGTCCCAGCCAGCAGGCCTGCCCTGTGCACCAGCCCCTGGGCTGCTGCCAGGAGGCTCCGGGACCACCCCTCCTGCTCTACACCACGCTTTCCGCCCGGCCACCTGGTCCCGTCCTCGCTGCCCGGCCTCTGAGGGCGAGGGGAAAGAAGGCAGGAAGGGTGGCTACGGTGCGGGTGACGGAAGGCCGCGGCTGCCCCCTGCGGGCCGGGGGCACCGGGCACCGGGCTGGAGGGCCGCCCGGGCACCGGGCTGGAGGTCCGGCCGCACCCCTCTGCTCTGCCCTCTGCCTCCCGGTTAAACCACGCGAAAGTAACAGCACGGGCGTGGGCAACCCCCCTTCCCACGCCGGTCCGCAAAGATGAAGCAGCCCTGGCTCAACGTCTGAGACACGTGTTAGGATGTTAAAAACAGAGAATCCCAGCAGGCTATTTATTTGCTTACAAAATGGGAAGCCACCACGTTTCCTGACAGCCCCCGGGCCAGTCACAGCGTGAGCGGCGGGCTCGGTGCAGCCAGCACCCCTCCCCCTCTCCTCTCCCCCGCCCCCTCCCCCCCCCCCCCCCCCGCAGCTCCGGGGCGTGGGGCTCCCGGCTGTGGCCTCGGTGGGGAGGCGGGAGCTGGCCCTCAGTGCCCCGCCCCGTGCACCCACCTTGCTCATCTCCCGGTGGAAGCTCTCCTCCAGGACCGCGATGCTCTGGAACGTGTTCACGTAGAACCCCACGCGGCTGCGGAGACAAGAGGAACACGGTGGCGGCCAGGAGCCGTTCACGCCGCCCGCTGCACCCTCGCCTGCGACCCGGCTGAGGGGCGTGTACCCGACACAGGGGGCACCGGGGGTGCAGGTGGGAGGGGGGCACTGGGGGTGCAGGTGGGGAGGGGGGCACCGGGGGAAGGGAGAACCGGGGGAAGGGGGCACCGGGGGTGCAGGTGGGGAGGGGGCACCGGGGTGCAGGTGGGGAGGGGGCACCGGGGTGCAGGTGGGGAGGGGGCACCGGAGTGCAGGTGGGGAGGGGGCACCGGTGTGCAGGTGGGGAGGGGGCACCGGGGTGCAGGTGGGGAGGGGGCACCGGGGTGCAGGTGGGGAGGGGGCACCGGGGGTGCAGGTGGGGAGGGGGCACTGGGGTGCAGGTGGGCAGGAGGCGAGGGGCCGGCCACCTCCCCCTCACCTGTTCCACAGGGACGGCAGCTCCTCCTGCAGGTCCACGTTCATCTCCTCGAACACCTTCTGCGCTTTGACCAGCTCCTCCTCGGCCTGCAGGCGGGACCAGCGTTGGCTTCTGCCGCCAGTCCCAGCCTGAGAGCGAGGCCAGGCCGGCCCCTCAGACCTGCTCCAACCTCCCGCCCGCGAGCTCACACTGGCTCTGGGCCGGGGGTGGGACTGGGCAGCCCCAGCCGCGCAACCCCTGGGACCCGGCACCAGGCCCTCTGAGGGGCGGACAGCCATGGCGAGGGGAGCCCTCTCCTGCCGGGCGGCCCCGGAGGGAGACGAGGGTGACAGGGCACAGGAAGGTGCAGCGTGGGCTGGGGGCCCAGGACCCAGCCTCGGGGACCTGCCACCTATGTGAGCCCCAGGCTCGGTGTCAGCCTGCGCCCAGCTCTCTGGGCCCTGCCGTCCCCTCCCAGGACCCCTGCCCCTTCTCAAGGCCCCTCTGCTCAGGCTCAGCCCCCAGCCCGCATCCACCTCCCCAACAGCCTTCCCCCCCTCCTGTCACCTGTGCGCCCAGCTGGAGGGCAGGGCCGGGGCATGGAGCTGGGCAGCTGGGCCTGCTCCAGCCCCCCTGCCCTGCGCAAGCCGGTGCCCTCCAGCCGCTCCCACCCCGCAGTGGTGCTGGGGCCCAGGCCGAGCCCAAGGGGGGAAAGCTGCAGCCCCCGCCCCCCCCAAGGCGCAGGGCCACCACCAGGCCCCGCTGGGGCTCTGCCAGCTCTCCTGCAGGCACGCTGGAAACTGACTCAGAGTGACTGGGCTGGACCCGCCCGCAGCAGCCTCTGCCGAACGCCGCATCGCCACGGAGCACCAGGCCCGAGCCACGGGCCTCCCACCCGCCTCGGGCACCAGGCCAGCCCGCGCCGCCCCCCGCGCGCGCCAGGCTGCGCTCTGCGGCTCGGGGAGCAGGGGGAGGCAGAGGGTCCGCCATCTGCCGGAACTTGCTCAAGTGAGCGTGCCTGGCCCAGCTTTAAAACCTGATTCAAAGTTAGAGGTGGGAGGGCGGGCAGAAACGCAGGCCCTGCTCCCTCGGGGCGGCTCCGCCGGCAGCTGCCCTGGGCGCTGAAGATGGCGTGTAAGCCGCAGCAGGCCCGCACGGCCTGAGCGCCCAGCACTGCCCTGCGCCTCCCTCCGCAGCAGGAGCCTGCTCCGGCGCCTGGCGCCGCCTCGGCCGTCCCAGCTCCCAGCTCCGGGCCGTGGAGCCCGCCTCCCGCCCCCACGCCGGCCTGGCTCCCCGATCACAATCGCGACCAGGACGAGGCAGCGGCAGGGTCCCGCGCCCAGCGATCCTGGGAAGCAGGACGCTCCTCCGTTTAACCCCGAAGGTCAGGGCCGGAGCCACGTGCACCCCCGGGTCTGAGCGGCAGGGAGTGCAGGACCGCCACTGGCTGCGGGAGGGAGGACCGCCACCCGCTGAGGGAGGGCCGCCGACCGCTGAGGGAGGGAGGACCGCCACCCGCTGAGGGAGGGAGGGCCGCTGAGGGAGGACCGCCACCCGCTGAGGGAGGGAGGGCCGCTGAGGGAGGACCGCCACCCGCTGAGGGAGGGAGGACTGCCACCCGCTGAGGGAGGGAGGGCCGCTGAGGGAGGACCGCCACCCGCTGAGGGAGGGAGGACTACTGAGGGAGGGAGGGCCGCCACCCGCTGAGGGAGGGAGGACCGCCACCCGCTGAGGGAGGGAGGACCGCCACCCGCTGAGGGAGGCTTGACGCCCCAGTGGCTCCGCTACGTGCTGACCGATGGACGTGAGCAGCTGACCCAAAACGGGGCACCGGGGCCCTGCAGGCAGCGCTGGGGGGCTGGCAGTGTGACGAGCTCGGCCCGGGCACACAGGAGCTGGTCAGCTCGGAGTGCACCGCCGCCACCTCGCACTGTGCAGTCAGCCAGACTGGGCAGCTGCAGGCTCCAGCACCCAGCTCCCAGGCTGCCAGCCCCCGGACCCTAAGGCCGCCCCACCCCAGCCAGGCGTGAGGCAGGGGGAGCCAAAGGAGGAATGCTCAGACTGGAATCCAGACGGGAAAGCCAATTTGGCTGGAAGGCGAAACATCTCAGCCAACAGCAGAGATGACGTCACGTGCTTTAGCTTCCCCGCGGCACCGGCCGGGCAGGGCCCTCCAGCAGGACCCCAGCCACACCCATCCCAGCAGCCCGAAGCTGCCCCAGCCTCTGGGGAGACTCCTCCCCCACAAACTGCTCACGGGGCCTCGGGCCAGACCGGCCTCAGGAACATGGCACAAAAACCACGTCTCCGGGCGGGGCAAGGAGACAGCGGCCTCACAGACCTGGCCCCTCCTCAGACCCTGGAGCTCCTGGCCACTCCCCAGTGAGCCCCAGCTCTGGCCTAAGGAAATCAGGCAGCGGGTCGGTCCAGCCTGCTGACCCGGCCGGCGCCCGCCGCACAGAGGCGGGACGATGTGATCAGGAGGCGCCCAGTAGCAGCGGCAGCCGCCCGGAGAGAACCCTCCTCCCGCTGGGACTGTCGCCTGCCCCCACCCAAGGCCACGAGGGCTCAGGTTCCAGGTCACGTCAGTCTCTCTGCCGAGAAAAGGCGGCCGCTCTCCAGGGCCTGCACCAGCGGCCTGCACACTGCCCGGCGGAGGGCAGGACTGCGTGGCATCCTCCTTCAGGGAGCCCCCAGGGGCCCGCCTCAGCACACCAGCCCGCTGGGAGCCCTCCACGGCCCTCCAGGGCTCTGGGCCCACATTTCCGCAGGCCCCCAGGGGCCTGTGCAGGCCACCCCGGAGCCTGGGCCGGGCAGGAGGGAACGGCCCGCCTCAGCCGAGCGGCTCCGGGACCCGGGCAGCGACTGCCTCCTCGGTTTTCTCCCCAGAAAAGGCAGACCACCTCCCAGTTCTGGCCCCAAGGGCAGCTCGTGCCGGGCCAGAGCCCTGTGCCCGCAGCCCGCCCTGCAGGAGCCTCCGAGGACCCAGGGCTCCAGCTCTTGGCCTGTGGACGCCAGGGTGTCAGCCAGGCCTGCCAAGCCCGGCGCTGAGCCCACCTGGCCTCCCAGAGCCCAGCCTCTGCCCCTGCGGGACCCGGGGCTGGTCTGCGCGGAGCTCCCAGCACAGGCCTCTGCAACCAGCCCTGCCTCCCGCTGGGAAGGCCTCCCGCCCTCCCCCCGCCCCCCAAGCCAGGGCAGTGCAGACAGGACAGGGCACAGGCTGGAAGGCGCCAGCACGTGCAAGGTTAGAAGCCAGTGTCACCTGATTTCGGAGCAGGTTAGTTTGAGCTACGAGATGAGCCTGCAGTTTGCCTTGGCACCACTGTGGGGCGGCTTTCTCAAGCAGCGAGACAGGCTGGGGAAGGGAAGTCAGGGGAGGGAGAGTGGAAAACGGAGGGAGGCAGGGAGGCGGAGAGAAACAGAGACAGACATTAAACACCAAGTCCAAAGGCCTGGAAGGCGGACAAACAAGCTGCTGCCCTCCAGGGACCCGGCCCCTCGGAGGCCGAGAGAATTAGGGGAGCCCCCAGCAGGCGCCGAAGGGGTGAACTCCAACTGCAAAGCAAAATGTGAGAGCCGTTAGCTGGGGCAGGGTGCAGGGTGCGGCCCTCAGGGCGCTGGGCGGGGCTCTCCTCAGGCCCGCTGGGAAATGGGGCCCACCAAGCCCTGCACCCCCACCCCCACCCCCACCCCCCATCCCACCGCCTGGCTTGTTCCAGCAGACACAGGCTTGCAGGAATCCACTCAGACACCGGCTGGGCGAGGGCCTCGCCCTGCAACCCAAGCCTCTCCTTCAAGAAAGTGCCACCGGAGCAGGGGGAGGGGAGGGGCGGCCAAGGACCAGGGGCTGGACAGGTGCCACCGAAGGAGCCAGAGGGACCGCCTGGGGACCGGCCGGGACGTGAGGACTGTCACCCACCAGCTCCGGGACCTGCCACCGGTCACAGGTGAGGGCAGGGGCCGGTGCACACAGACCTCTCCCCCACCCCCTCCCCGTCTCCCCACACGCCCTGGCGGCCCTCACCTTGGCAATTTTGGCCTCATCCTTCTTTTTGGCAGTTTGGAGGGACTCGTAATGGTGCCGGGCGCTGTCGTAGTCCACCAGCTTCCGGCCCCGCTTTGCGATGCGCGACTGGAGAGAGCGGAGGGGAGGGCTGCCAGGCCTGGCCACGCTGCCAGCGCCGACCAGCAGAGCAGGGCGGGAGGAGCCACACGCCCAGGGGGCCCCGCCGGCAAGGCTGTGCACGCCTCTGCGCCCCTCCTCACACACGGCAGGCCACCGCCTGGCACAGCCACGTCAGCGCCCACCAGCCACTGAGGCCGAGCCCCCCGCCTGGCCCCGGGCCTGGACCACGCTTCCTCTGGGCCACGCCCGCAGCCCCCACACTCGCACCGGGAGCCCGAGGCAGCAGCCGGGGGAGGGGGCCAGCAGGACCCCCGTGGGTCCGGTCCGGCACCGCGGTCAGCACCCGGCTCCAGATGCCTCTTCTTCCCGGGGAAGCACCAGGCCTGGCCTCGGTGGAGACACTGGCTCATTGACAACACGGTACAGCCCACCAGCAGGACAGAGGGCTGTGAGAGCACACAGCCACACAGCCCCGGGTGGCTGTGAGAGCACACAGCCACACAGCCCCGGGTGGCTGTGAGGGCACACAGTCACACAGCCCCGGGTGGCTGTGAGGGCACACAGTCACACAGCCCCGGGTGGCTGTGAGGGCACACAGCCACACAGCCCCGGATGGCTGTGAGGGCACACAGCCACACAGCCCCGGGTGGCTGTGAGAGCACACAGCCACACAGCCCCGGGTGAGGGGCGATGCGCACACACAGCCTAACAGGCGGACATCCCGGACACACCATATGCAGTCCCAGACTCCAGGCACCGCCACACGCAGCACACGCAGCACACGCACAGCTCCCAGCTCAGAAAGGCCCCGTCTGGCTGGCAGGCTGGCCGCAGCAGGAGCAGTCCTGAGGGGACCAAGCGCCAGTGGCAGGGATGCCTGCCTCCGGGCAGGTCACTGCGGTGCCTGAGCCAGCTCCGGCCTGCCCCACCCGTCCCTCTCTCCCTCTCGTCTCCCTGCATGGCGCCAGTGGGCAGCCTCTCACCTTGATGTCAGGGAACTGGCCCAGATACGTGTCCATGGTCAGCAGCGCCTGGTCCACCAGCTTCTGGTGGTAATCCATCCAGAGCAGGTCGTTGTTCTGGAGGAGCAACAGCAGGTGAGTGCACCCAGCGCCAGCCCACCCCACCGCTGCCGCCTCCCAGAACCTTGGGGCTCAGCTCCTGCCCCATCACTTCAAGATTTGGTGGCTTCTCACACCCGTTTCTTCATCTGTAAAATGGCCAGTAGAGGCCAGCAAGGCCCCTGGGAGGGCCGAGCCACCTGCCCCTCCTCACCTCGGCAATCTTGCTCGCTTCGTCCCTGCCGGGCCAGTCGGGCTCATACACCTCCTGCAGACACTCGTTCAGCTTCTTGGAGGCCTCATGCATGGCTGGGGGCAGAGGGCCACGCTGCAGCCAGTGCCACGGGGGCCTGGATGGCAGGTCCCCGGGCCCGGGAGGTGTGTCCCTGCCCTTTGCCCACAGGCCCGACGCCTTCCCAGCTCTTTACCCGCCACCGCGTGGGAAGGCCCCGCCCGCACCCGTGAAGTCCGGCCCCCAGCCTGTCTGCGCCTTACCTTTGACAGAGGCCAGGTAGGTCCGGAGGTCCTTCTGCAGCCGGGTGCCCTCGTTCTGCAAAGAAAAGACGTGACCCAGGTGAGGGCGGGCCACGCGTGTACCCCTTCCTGCATGCGCACCCCGCAGACCCGTGAAGGCCGTCCTCGTCCGGGCACGGCAGGCGCGAGAAGAGAGACGCGCCAGCGCCCAGGCCGGCCGGCCCAGCTCAGCCCAGCACGGCAGCAGCGCCTCCGGCACCAGCAGCACGAGCGGCCGGGCGCTCGGCTCCCCCGCTGTGGCCTGAGGGCCGTGCATCCTGAGTGCGCAGCCCTGGAAGGGCGTCCGGGAGACAGACGTCCTGGACGGGACAGTGGGGCATGGCCGGCGACACGCACACCGCCCACATGCGGCAGGCCTGCCCACAGACGACCACGGGCCGGTGCCAGGGTACAGACACGTGGGCGAGGGCGGGCGCCTTGTTCTAAAGGCTCAGATGGTGCCAAGACCAGCAGCTCCCACCGCATTGTGCAGGATGGAGGGCGGCCGGGGAGAAGAGGCTCCAGAAGGGGCGCCTCGCCGGGGACAGAGAAGTGGTCGTGCCAGGCCTCTTGGACGTGGCCAGCTGAGAGGAGGGTAGGAGTCAGAGGAAGGGTCAGGGGAGTGGGCCAGGAGCGAAACTACAGCATGCTGGGCCTGACCCGCTGGGTTCCCCCAAACCCAGCTTCTCCCAGCCAGGCCTCCACTCCCCACTCCCTGCAACAACCCAGCGACCGCGACTCTGCCCAGGGAGGGGTGGCCGTGGCCCAGGTGCTGCGCTTGCCTGGGATGTACCCCCCACACAAGACCACGCTGTGAGCGGGCGCAGGCACAGCTGTGCGGGTCGCCCAGTGCAGCTGCAGCCGGGCCCCTCAGCCATCGCAGCCGGCCTCCGAGCTGCTTCCGAACAGGGCAGGGCCTGTCAGCACGGATCTGTGAGCTCCTTCCACACGGCTCCTCCCCTGCGCCTGGGGAGTCTCTGCAGTTCCCGAGCTCTGACGCTCCAGAAGGGCAGCGGGAGGACGGAGTTCTGGACCCGCTGCTGGGGCCTGCTCCCCAGCCCCACAGCCCAGGACCCGCACCCCGTGCAGCTGCACGGCCAGCACCCCGTCTCCGCTGAGGACGGAGCCTCTCTCTTTCCAGCGGTCTCTCGCCACTCCACACCAGTGCAGAGGGGTGCCCGCCTGGAGCAGAGCCGGTGGGCCTGGTGGGAAGGGCACACAGAGGTGACGAGGCCTGGGCTGCAGGGTCTTCGGGGCTGCCTGAGCAGGTTCATGGGCGCAGGGGGAGGGACAGGAGGCCTCCAGGACTCGAGCAGGGAGAGAGGGCAGGTGCGCTGAGACGGGCTCAGGGGCCCAGTGGGGGACGTGAGAATGGTGACGCAGGTGACGCACCCGCTCCCAGGACCCCCTCCTAGGACGCACTGGGACCAGCCTTGGCCTGCGCCATGCTCACAGGGAACGGGCAGACGCCGCTGCCAGCCCAGCCACCTCCCCCCCTCCCCCAGGCCCTGCCGGCCCGAGCCGCTGACCTCACCCCTCCGGTATGGTGCCCCACACCCCGGCTCAGTCACCCCACATCTGTTAGATCCACAACGGCCTGGTCACCTAAGCCCCCAGGGAGGTTACCCCGGGTGGGAGGACTCAAGCTTGGCCCCCAGCTCCCACCCTGGCCCCTGAAAAGCCAGTCCCCACCTGCCCGAGGGCGGGAGGAGGCCAGCTTAAGTGGCCAGTGCACGTGCCCCAGCCCAGCTCCCTGCCGGCCCGTCAGGCCTTCCTGCCTGGCCCCTCGGAGCCAGGACCCAAGTCGGGACTCTGAGCAACAAATGGGAAGGCAGCCCTCCTGTCCCAGCTCCCAGGGCACCGCCTCACCTTCTGCCAAATGCCTGCCTGCTCAGGGGCAGCCCTAGCCCCCAGCCCCCCAACCCTAGTTCCCAGCCCTCAGCCCCCAGCCCCAGCCCCCTGCCCCCAGCCCCTAGCCTGCAGGCCCAGCCCCAGCCCAAGCCCGCAGCCCCCAGCCCCAGCCCCCAGCCCCAGCCCCCAGCCCGTAGCCCACAGCCCACAGCCCCCAGCCCAGTCACCAGCCAGCTACCCCAACACTCCCCTCCAGACCAGTCCGCTGCCCTGCAGACCAGGGAACCTGCCTTAGAACCCCAAGCTCCTGTCAGCTGCGGGGCCGTGGAGCCCATACTCTCTCTGAGCCTCAGGGCCTCCTCCGTAAAACACAGAGGGTGTTAGCAGCCATCGCACAGACACAGGGCAAGCCCGGCCGGCATGCTTCCGTGACAGAGCGTTCGCCGATGACCAGGAGGTCAGGTTCGATTCTGATCAGGGCACAGGCCCAGGCTGTGGGCTGCATCGCAGTGTGGGGCGTGCAGGAGGCGGCCAACCCATGATTCTCTCTCATCACTGGTGTTCTCTCCCCGTCCTCTCCCTCCCTCTCTGAATCAACAAAGACATATTTTATTTTTAATTAAAGACCAAGAGGCGGAAGGCCGTGTCTGAGAAGAGGCACAGCAGCGGCCGCGGCAGCCCGCTAGGAGCAGCCCCTGCAGGGAGAGCAGCCCCCCTCAGAGCCAGGAGCACAGCCCCCCCCCCACTGACACAGGCTTCTGTCCACGTCTGTTCACGGGAGAATGGCGAGGCCCAGGCGTGGGCTCCGCCAGGGCCCCCAAGGCCCCCTCTGCCCTGCGCCCCCCGGGCCCTGACACACCTCCTACCTAGACACCAGGCCCTGACACACACCCTACTGACACACCTACTGACACACCCCCTATTGACACACCACCTACTGACACACCCCCTCCTGACACACCACCTACTGACACACCCCCTCCTGACACACCACCCACTGACACACCTCCTACCTAGACACCAGGCCCTGACACACACCCTACTGACACACCTACTGACACACCCCCAATTGACACACCACCTACTGACACACCCCCTCCTGACACACCACCTACTGACACACCCCCAATTGACACACCACCTACTGACACACCCCCTCCTGACACACCACCTACTGACACACACCCTCCTGACACACCACCTACTGACACACCTCCTACTGACACACCTGGCCCTGACACACACCCTACTGACACACCTACTGACACACCTCCTACCTAGACACCAGGCCCTGACACACACCCTACTGACACACCTACTGACACACCTACTGACACACCTCCTACTGACACACCTGGCCCTGACACACACCCTACTGACACACCTACTGACACACCCCCTATTGACACACCACCTACTGACACACCCCCTCCTGACACACCACCTACTGACACACCCCCTCCTGACACACCACCTACTGACACACCTCCTACCTAGACACCAGGCCCTGACACACACCCTACTGACACACCTACTACTGACACACCCACTGACACACCTCCTACTTAGACACCAGGCCCTGACACACACCCTACTGACACACCTCCTACTGACACACCTCCTCCTGACACACCACCTACTGACACACCCACTGACACACCTCCTACTGACACACTCCCTCCTGTCACACCACCTACTGACACACCTCCTACCTAGACACCAGGCCCTGACACACACCCTACTGACACACCTACTACTGACACACCCACTGACACACCTCCTACTGACACACCTCCTCCTGACACACCACCTACTGACACACCCACTGACACACCTGCTACTGATACACACCCACTGACACACCTCCAACTGACACACCTCCTACCTAGACACCAGGCCCTGACACACACCCTACTGACACACCTACTACTGACACACCCACTGACACACCTCCTACTGACACACCTCCTCCTGACACACCACCTACTGACACACCCACTGACACACCTGCTACTGATACACACCCACTGACACACCTCCAACTGACACACCTCCAACTGACACACCTCCTACTGACACACCTACTGACACACCTCCTACTGACACACCTACTGACACACCTCCTACTGACACACCTACTGACACACCTAGCCCTGACACACCACCTACTGACACACCTCCTACTGACACACCCCCTCCTGACACACCCCCTCCTGACACCCCCCCTCCTGACACACCTCCTACTGACACACCCCCTCCTGACACACCTCCTACTTAGACACCAGGCCCTGACACACACCCTACTGACACACCTACTGACACACTCCTACTGACACACCCCCTCCTGACACACCCCCTCCTGACACACCTCCTCCGACACACCCCCTACTGACACACCTCCTACTGACACACCACCTACTGACACACCTCCTACTGACACACCCCCTCCTGACACACCTCCTACTTAGACACCAGGCCCTGACACACACCCTACTGACACACCTACTGACACACTCCTACTGACACACCCCCTCCTGACACACCCCCTCCGACACACCCCCTACTGACACACCTTCTACTTAGACACCAGGCCCTGACACACACCCTACTGACACACCTACTGACACACTCCTACTGACACACCCCCTCCTGACACACCCCCTCCTGACACACCCCCTCCGACACACCCCCTACTGACACACCTCCTACTGACACACCACCTACTGACACACCTCCTACTGACACACCACCTACTGACACACATCCTACTGACACACCCCCTACTGACACACCTCCTACTGACACACCCACTGACACACCCCCTACTGATGGCCTAGCAGTCAGGCAGCCACGGGACTCCACGCCTTGTCTGAAAGTCAGCTGAGCTCCTCTGCCATCTTCCTGGGCTCCCAGCCTTCCCTTCCCCCCTTCCCGTCCCCTTTCCCTCCCTCTTTTCCTCTCCCCCCCCCTCCCCCTCTCCATCCCCTTCTTCCTACTCTTCTGCCTCCCCTCTCCCCTCCCCTTCCCCTCTCTCTCTCCCTGCAGGCCCGGGGGCCATGGCTGTCATTCTCAGGGGGAAAATGGCCGTCCGCGGGCTTCCATCCCAGCCGTAGGACTGGTGGTGCCTTCGGTGCTTCTGAGACCTCCGACGGGACACGGAGCAGAGAGGCCGGGTCCCCCCAACTCGCCCGCCCCTGTGCCCACCGTCTCCCAAGACCTGCGGACCCTCCTCTGCACTCCTCTCCACAAACCAGCTCCTGACAGTTCCAGCCACAGCCCCAGGCGTTCCCCCAGCCCCAGGCCCGGCCGCCCCACTCACCAGCCCCAGGCCCGGCCGCCCCACTCACCAGCCCCAGGCCCGGCCGCCCACTCACCAGGCCCAGGCCCGGCCGCCCAGCTCCCCAGGCCCGGCCGCCCACTCACCGGCCCCAGGCCCGGCCGCCCACTCACCGGCCCCAGGCCCGGCCGCCCCACTCACCAGGCCCAGGCCCAGCCGCCCCACTCACCGGCCCCAGGCCCGGCCGCCCCACTCACCGGCCCCAGGCCCGGCCGCCCACTCACCAGCCCCAGGCCCGGCCGCCCCACTCACCAGGCCCCAGGCCCGGCCGCCCCACTCACCAGGCCCCAGGCCCGGTCGCCCCACTCACCACGCTCCAGGCCCGGCCACCCAGCTCCCCAGGCCCGGCCGCCCCACTCACCACGCTCCAGGCCCGGCCATCCAGCTCCCCAGGCCCGGCCGCCCCACTCACCAGCTGCTTGTTAAAGTTCTGGACACACTGTTCGAACTGCTCGTCCTTCGTCTCATCAGCCTTGCCCAGTTTCTGGAGGACCTGCCGAGGCAGAGGGGGGAGAGTGCCCCTGAGAATGAGACCAGCCCAAGCAGAGTGCCCTTAGCAACACCCAGCCAGGGTCCCGGAGGCCGGGCTGGTGCCACCAGCCCAGGCGCTGGGACCACCAGGCCTCCTGGCTGCTCCGATCCACCCCCTCCAGGCCTGCCATCACCACAGGAGGACCGGGAGCCGGGAGGACGGGGCTTCAAAGACAGGCTGCGGAACAGGTGCCCCTCACTGCAGACCTCACACATACCGGGGTGCCCACCCCCACAGCGCTCCTCCTGCACCCCGTCCCTGCGCTGGGGCCACCGCCAGGAGGAAGGGCAGAAAGGTGCCAGGGTCAGGCTCTGGGTCCCTAGCCGTCAGCTCCCTATCTGAGTAGGTTTTCAAATGTGACCCACCCCAGGCTCCTGCCCCACCTCCACAGCCCAGCAGGTATGCATACGCACACGCACAGCCACACACACACACACACACACACACACGGCCACACATACACACACACGCACAGCCACACATACACACACACACGGCCACACATACACACACACACACATGCACAGCCACACATACACACACACACACACGGCCACACATACACACACACACACACACGCACAGCCACACATACACACACACACACACGCACATACGGCCACACATACACACGCACATACACACACGCACGCACAGCCACACATACACACACACACACACGGCCACACATACACACACACACACACATGCACAGCCACACATACACACACACACACACACACACGGCCACACATACACACACACACACACACGCACAGCCACACACACACACACACACACACACACGGCCACACATACACACACACACACACACACGGCCACACATACACACACACACACACACGCACACGGCCACACATACACACACACACACACGCACACACATACGGCCACACATACACACGCACATACACACACGCACGCACAGCCACACATACACACACACACACACACACACACACACACGGCCACACACACACACACACACACACGCACGCACGCACACACGCGCACACGCGCGTGCACACACACACGGCCACATGCTGGGAGGAGGTAGAGGGCAAAGGTGAGTGAAGGCAGAGAGAGAGAGAGACCAGCCAGGAGAGAAGCCTGAGAGGAAGGCAGAAGGGCAGGCCCATCAGGTTCTCCCAGACTTCCCTCTTCCCCCGGCCCCCTCCCCGCCCCGACCCCTCCCCGCCCCGGCCCCCTCCCCACCCCGGCCCCCTCCCCACCCCAGCCCCCACCCCATCCCGGCCCCCTCCCCACCCCGGCCTCCTCCCCACCCCAGCTCTCCAGGAGAGAGGAGGGGGGAGAGCAGGGAGGGGGAGGGACGAGCAGGAGAGAAGGGCACAAAACAGGCGTGGAAGGGGCAGGGAGAAGAGCTGGGAAAGAAGAGCTGGGAGCAGGGCGGGGAAGTGGAGGCAGAGGTGGGAGGGTCTGCAACAAGAGGGGAGCTGAGACCATGGGAGCCAGACTGCCACCATCCCCAGACTGCCGCCCAGCCCTGGCCGCCCTCAGGGCCGAACAACACTGACATGCTCAGGAGAGGCCGTGGCCGAGCTCAAGGAGCAGAGGGCCCGCTGGGCCGGGGAAGAGCCCCACCCCTCCACCCAAGCCCCAGGCCGGGCCCGAGGGGCCGAGGGGTCGCAGCCCCAGGCCAGGCCGAGGGGCCGAAGCCCCTCCACCCAAGCCCCAGGCCGGGCCCGAGGGGTCGCAGCCCCAGCCCCTCCACCCAAGCCCCAGGCTGGGCCAGAGGGTCCGAGGGGTCACAGCCCCAGGCCGGGGTCCCAGGGGCTCCAGGCCCGCAGGTGGTGAGGAGGCCTGGGCAGGGCTGGTCCTGCACTCTGGGCCTCACGTGCCCGGTCTGGAGAGAACACGGGCGCCACCTGGGCCATGTCTGCAGCGCACGCCTCTGGGCCTCGCTTCGCACACGCCAGCCGCCACACCCACCCCGGTCCCCACAGACGGCGCCACAGACGTTGGACACACATTGACACGTGTGCACCGGATGCATGTGCACACGGCAAACCCTCCTCCTGCCACACCGAGCCCTGGCGGTGCCCTCCGGGAAGTGCCTGCCGCACGCACACCACCCGCACCGAGGGCCCAGACCCACCCGCATCGCTGGGCAAGGGTGCCCAGTGCCCGCCCTGGCCGCCCGGCCTGTGAACAGCCACACGCCCAGCCTGTCCCCGCTGCTGCATGGGCCAGGCAGTCAGACACACGTGTTCCTGTGACCGCGCTGCTGCACGGGCCAGGCAGTCAGACACACGTGTTCCTGTGATCACGCTGCTGCACAGGCCGGGCACAGACACACATGTTCCCGGTGACTGCACTGCTGCACGGGCCAGGCACAGATACACGTGTTCCTGTGACCGCGGCTAAGCTAGCCGTGGCTCTGAGGGCAGCCATGGTCTAGAACAAATCCCATCTCTCACCCCTCTCCTCCTCTGCGGCCCCTGGTCACGGCGGGCAGTGGTGCCTGACCACAGAGCAGCCTGGGGGAGGGAGCCAGGACCAGGAGGCGGCATTCCCGCGAACCCCAGGTCCGGTGGTGTGGGTGCCAGGCTGGTGGCCGGAGGCTCTGGGAGGACCGGGCTGACGCTCCCCTGTGCCCCCTTTCAGAGGTGAGGGGGGGGACACGCGGTCCGAGTCCCTGTCCACAAGGAGCTCCCAGTGTGGCAACTGGAGCAAAACCGATCTGAACCCACCTGCCTGAAGGCAGGGCGGGACACAATTCAGCCCAAAGCCACAGCTCCGCTGCCACTCGCTCCCACTCCCCGTGCCCTCCACGGGGCCGGCACCCACAGCTGCTCAGCCTTCAGGGGTGCTCTCCTCCACAGGAGGCCCCAAGGCTGCGGACTCAGCCCCGCCAGGCCTTCCCCTGCTTCACACAGACCCTCCACCTGCAGGATGACACGGGGCGGGGGTGGGGAGAGAAGGCACGCAGGGGGGAGGAGGGGAACGGGGTGCAGGAGGGAGGAGGAGGGAGGAGGGCGCAGGAGGAGGGAGGAGGGAGGGGAGAGAGGGAATGTAGGAGGAGGGGGAGGAGGAGGGGGAGGAGGGAAGAGGAGGAGAGGGAGGAGGGAGGAGGGAGGAGGGGGAGGGGTGCAGGAGGAGGGGGGAGGGGGAGGAGGACAGGGAGGAGGGAGGAGGGAGGAGGGGGAGGGGTGCAGGAGGAGGGGGGAGGGGGAGGAGGAGAGGGAGGAGGGAGGAGGCAGGAGGGGGAGGGGTGCAGGAGGAGGGAGGAGGGAGGAGGAGGGGGGAGGAGGGAAGAGGAGGAGGAGAGGGAGGAGGGAGGAGGGGGGAGGAGGGAAGAGGAGGAGGAGAGGGAGGAGGGAAGAGGAGGAGGAGAGGGAGGAGGGAGGAGGGAGGAGGGGGAGGGGTGCAGGAGGAGGGAGGAGGTAGGGGAGAGAGGCGTAGGAGGAGGGGGAGGAGGAGGGGGAGGAGGGAAGAGGAGGAGAGGGAGGAGGGAGGAGGGAGGAGGGGGAGGGGTGCAGGAGGAGGGGGGAGGGGGAGGAGGAGAGGGAGGAGGGAGGGGAGGGGTGCAGGAGGAGGGGGGAGGGGAGGGGGAGGGGTGCAGGAGGAGGAGGGAGGGAGGAGGGGGGGAGGGAAGAGGAGGAGGAGAGGGAGGAGGGAGGAGGGAGGAGGGGAGGGGGAGGGGTGCAGGAGGAGGGAGGGAGGAGGGGGAGGGAGGGAAAGAGGAGGAGGAGAGGGAGGAGGGAGGAGGGAGGAGGAGGAAGGGGGAGGGGGAGGAGGAGAGGGAGGAGGGAGGAGGGAGGAGAGGGGTGCAGGAGGAGGGAGGAGGGAGGAGGGGGGGGAGGGAAGAGGAGGAGGAGAGGGAGGAGGGAGGAGGAAGGAGGGGGAGCAGGAGGGAGGGGGTTGGGAGGATGAGCAGAGCAGGGGGAGGAGGCGGCCGTTTGGCACGGGGTCAGGAACCCTCTCTGTCTGGGTTGTGTATTGGGGGGGGGGGGAGGCAGGGCCACACTCTTGTGCTTATCACAGGGTCTCCCTTTGGAACACACCAAGGAGCCTTTGCTGAGGGGCTGAGAGCCGCACAGCCCCACCGTGCTGCCCAGGACGCCGTGGCCAGGACGCCTCTCAGTGTCACCACCTCCCCCCACCTCTCAGCAGCCTCTCACCACCTCCTCAGCACAGATAGCAGCTCGGGCCGGTGACACTCTGCTGACACGACACTCCGGTGACAGCCTGGAGGGCGCGGCTCCCAGCCTCTCCCAGCCTGCGCCTCCTCAGCGCTTCCTCTCCTCCACGGACACTGGGCCAGGGGCCTCCCGGCCCACAGGGCAGGGCCAGCTACTATCGAAAGAACCAGAGCAGCCCCCACCACAAGCCTCCCCCCCGGTGAGTGTCCCCTCTGTGAGCAGGTGGTGCTGAGCAGACCCGGACCAGCCTGAGGCCCCGGAGCCAGGCCAGCGCCACGGCCACCCGCAAACCAGGGGCGGCTCCCTTGAGCCCTGAGCGGGGCCCGGCCGTCCTCCTGGGCCTGACCCCCAGAGGGCTGAACCCCAGGGGGTGGGGACCAGACGGCACAGGCGCAGGAAGGACCTCCTCGGACCTCAGGCTGGCGAGGCGGGAAGCCGTGGGAGCAGGGCCCCATCCCCAGTCAGCCTGCTCCCGGCACTGGCCAGTCCTGTCCGGCCGCCGCAGGCCCACCCCTCCCACCCCCATCCACACACACACACACACACACACACCCCCCATCCACACCCACACACACTCCCACACACACACACACATTCCCACACCCACACCCACACACACTCCCACACACACTCCCACACCCACACCCACTCCCACGCCCGGGGGCTTCACCCGCTCCCCGAGACCCACCGCCAGCCGGGACCCCAGGCGTCACCTTCCTCATCCTGAGCCGCCGCCGCCAGCAGCCGCGGTGCAGTGAGCCTGAGGGCGGGGTGGCA